TGTTCCATTGAAAACTCCGGTTGCCAAAGACTGACAGTGAACAAAATAAATGGGAAGCTCACAGGAGGACTAAAGTGGATAGCAGCGGCTCAGGCCTCCATCTGGGGAGTATCCCAGTCAGGGACCAGAGGCTGCGCGTCTTCTAATCAACTCTCATCTCTGGGATAAATACATTATCTGTGGAAAAAAAGTAATACAATGTCTGCCTGCATTGGGTACATCCTAAATATGTATTTCATGGCTGCTTTGGCGAGGAAAATATATTTATAGTTCCTTTAGTGCCATTCCAGTCTATTGTGTAAATATGTAAATGAGGCTCCGTGATCTACACAGTAAAATGCCTTAGAATAATTTGTGTAAATAAATCATCTGCATATGCCCACTGCATAGTTTCCATTGCCTTCCAGGGAGCTTTGAAACACTGATTCAGAGGAAACTTACTCACAATCAGAGAAATGAATGGGTTGGTCAGTCCATCCCGGCAGAATCTGATGGTGATGTCCTTGAGCCCACACTCACGGACCACACTCTCGGAGAATAAGAGGGGATCTGTGTTCTAGCCTGCTGCTAATTTCATTAGCTGCTGTTCAGTTCTGTGCCTCCACATTATGACAGCGATGGGGGCTATTCAATAGAATTTGCAGTGGTTAAAGTAAAAATGCAGACAGAAGAGCAGAAGGCTGCATTGCCATCTGTCCCGGCTGCCAGAGTCCGCTGGCCACCCCCTTGGCAACAGCCACAAAATTGATGAACTTCTAATCTCCCAAGGGCATGACAGAGATTTGGCTGGATGGGGGGACATCAGGCCAAGCAGCCCGTCTGGGCCACAAGGACTGCCCAACACAAAATGCCTCAGTCTTCCCAGATGCTAGCAGCTCCCCATGTGGCCCCGCTGGATAAAAAAAAAACAAAACTGGGCCTGTAATACCTTCAGCAAACCACTCCTTTGCCCGGAGGACGTCTTGCCAGGGAGCTTTGGTGGAGAAAATGAGATGATACAGCATTTAATGTTTTGTGTAATGAGGCCTGAAATAGATGACAGCCGAGATCCAAAGCCCTCAGGTACTGGCAAGGTGTTTAAATATTGACAATCCATAAAAGTGTTTCATTTGACTATGAGTTGCTGCTGGCCTTAGTCACAGAAGGGAGGGGGCATCTTTCTTAACTTTCTGTGAAAGACCATGAGTCCAGCAGCTTGCTCTGGTCCAGTTAACAATCTGAAAGGGAAAATCATTGGCAACCTGCTTTTGAATGTCCAGTAGCAAAATGGAAGTGAAAGCAAAGTCTTTAACACTCATTGAAAAAGACTGTGTTTTCCAGGTCAGTTTCTTGTTATATTTTAGTTCCCCTGTGGGTCAGTTTCCACATTCTGGCTTCAGGCCTGCTGAGCTCAGACCTCCTGCTGACTTCAGAAGGCTTCTCCACATTTGGGCAAGCCCTCCAAGGCTAGGGCTCAGTGTGAAACTCAAGCCGACACGCCAATTAGTTCTTATTCAAACCACCTTCTGGACTCCCTGAAGCTACACATCGAACCAATAGGCATCCTGTTCCCTTCATTACAGCAGATGGATGAGCATAGAATAACCTGAGGAGAAATTAAATGGCTCCACAGGCAAGTCTGAGAATCAATACCTTATCATTTCTCAGAAAGTGCCAAAATGTGTTCATTGGTGTGAAGTCCAGGCACCTGAATCTGGCTGCTGATGTGTTACATGTCACACAGGCTGGTCTCTGACATGAAAATGCTCATTTCAAAGACACATTGGTGTACTAGACTAAATAGGGTGAGGAGACCATCCATAGGAGTTTAAATATTTTAAAATTAACTTTTTATTTTGAGATAGTTATAGAGTCCTTGTGGTTGCAGGGAATAATATAGAGCATGGCTGTGTATCTTTAACCCAGCTTTGCCCCATGGTAATATCTTGCAAAACTGTTCTACGATAATATCATCGTTATTATTAGGGTTTGGGCAATGACAAGGCTGAAATACAAAACATCTCCTTCCACAACTGTTTTATAGCCACACATCCACTGGGGTTCTAAACCTCTAGTGAGAGAGATAGGCAATCAGGTAGATGGATATTAGCCAGACTCCTCTGTGGTTTTCTGCTGTGGGTTTCTTAATCTGTTCTTGGTACCATGGACCCCATCGGCAATGTGTTGGCTCTTAGGGACACTTTCTCAGAATGATTTTAGACACATAAAGGAAAATTTAAAATGGAGCCACTTATATTGGTAATACTTTCAATTATGTAGAGGCAATTGTTAGTTCCTAGTCACCTCTGCCTCCTGGTAATGCTGGAGGTGGGATTATAGGTGGTTTTCTTTGTGCTGCTTGTTTAGATGCATGGCTCTTTGGAAGGTGTATGGAAAGAACTGAATTTAGATCACCTGTCACCACCATTGTCCCAGAACAACTTAGAAGTCTCTGCTTCTTCATCAGCTTAAGTAACAAGGTCTAGCAGAGAGTCCACAAACACTATAACTCTAAAGTAATGACAAGTGTAAACTATACTGCCAAATATCTGCTATGGCTGGAATGTCACATAAAATATCCATGACTGCTACTTCCGACAGTGTCACAGGTTCTACTATTAATTACATGGTTTATCACTTACAATTATAAGTTGAATTATGTTCTTTTTTTTTTTCCCTAACACAAATTCATTTGTTCAAATTCTAACCCCCAGTACCTTAGAACAACTTTATTTGGAATCAGAGTTACTGTAGATATAGCTAAGATAAGGATATGCTGCAGCAGGGTGGGCTGCTAATACCATATGACTGGTGTCTTTACAAATAAAAAGAAGTTTGGACACATACACACACACACACAGAGGAAGATCACCAAGTAAAGGTAAAGGCAGAGGTTAGAGAGAGATGAATTTATGAGCCAAGGAACACCCAAGGAGAGCCAGTTACCACCAAAAACAAGAAGAGAAGATGAAACAAATTCTCCCTCACAGCCCTCAGAAGGAACTGACCCTATTGACACCTTGATCTTGGACTTCTGGCCTCTAAAACTGTGAGACTAAAAATTTTTATTGGTTAAATCATCCAGTTTGTGGTACTTTGTACAGCAGCCCTGGAAAACTAATACATACATTATACATCGAAGGAAATGTTAAATTTCAGTTAGAAGTTACTGAAAATAAAAATGTATTTTTCCCATCCAAATTAATGGATCTCCAAAATTCTATCCATATATCCCTTAGTGGGCTGGGAGAACTGAAAAAGTAGCCTGTATAATAAATGTTCTGAGTACCAGCAGATGGCATAATGGTTATGTTGGACTCCCGCATAGTTGACCTTGGTTTGAATCTTGGACCAGGCGACTTAAACTCACACTGGGTGTGTGTGTGTGTGTGTGTATGCCCAAAATCCCAAGAGGAGAATGGGGAGTGGGGAGGTCTATGGCATGGCAATCTACCCTGGGTGGTGATTTCTCACTTTTTGTCTCTCTGTCTCTAGAGCGAGTGCACACACCCTATAGCAAAAATCTCTCTTAAAACAAAATTTGATAAATACATACATGAATATTCTGTCTTCCTAAATTAGGGAAGAAAAATATATGAACTATTTTCTTAAATCTGCACAGCTCCCATCATCTGCTTTAGCCCCCACTATTCCTCAATTTGGGCCCAGACCTCACTAGGACCTTTTATTTGCAGTTCTTACCAATCTCTGAAAGTGCTCTTGAATTAAATATCATCATTAGAGAGTCAGTTGGCTATTCTAGGGCCCTCTGCTTGCAGATACATGCAGTGGGAGGACAGTCACCACAGAAGTCCTCTGCCAAGCTCAGACTATTAACCAACTGGGGAGTCTCTGTTTCCAGAACAGGCCAAATATCTTGCTCAACACGTACTATTAGGATTCTCCCAGGTTAGTAAGCCTGAATTTATGAGTTCTTGAGTTGAAGAATTTTTCATTTTAGTATTAAATATATATATATATATATTAAATATATATATATTAAATATATATATATATATATATTGTCTTCTATATACTAGGTTTCTCCTTAGAAGTTTCTGGGAGGCATATCTAACTAGCAATTTTTCAAAAACAATTTGGTTGGGGAGGAGAGAAAGAATGTCCGTGACATAGTGATTAATGTAACTTTTGGGATCTTTCTTCTTGGTCTAATAGCCTCTTTAAATATTAGACTAAAATGATTCTTAGTACTGTAGTCCATCTGGCAGGCAGGGTGTGACAGTTTGCTACCTGAGTGAATCCTTGGCACATCACATATTTTCATGCTCAGATATTCATGATTAACTGTGCAATCACGTGAAGGTCAGTGAAGCTGCTAAGTCTTTCTATGTTTGGTGATACTCTCTAGCTCCAAGCACTAATATCTGTCTTGACCCATCAGGAATTCCTTTTCCAATAGTGTTCAGCCTTACTTATTAAAGTTGAATGAAAGGAAGGGTGAAAAAAATTCTTCAGGAGGATCGGGTTGGGAATGGATCTTAGACCTCATTTTGAGAAGAGTAGAAAATGAAGCAAATGGTGTGTCAGTTTCACTATTAATAAGAATACTCATAATTACCAGAAATGAACATAACTCTTTCCATCTAGGTTGCAAACATTTAGAACAATGAGATGAGTCCCTGAAAACACTCTTAGATTTTACTGATGAGTTAAAATGTCTTTAAGTGCCCCTAAGTTCTCATCTACCTATTTCTGATGACAATTATCATCCTCCTAAGTAAGTGTCATGTGGCTAAAAACATCATGAATCTAATGCCGGTAAGGTTAATAGCACAGCTGTGATTATGAAAATTGAAAGGAGGAGAGTGAGAAATGAACCTCTCCTTTCAACAAAACTACCCTGTTTTTGTCACAGCATTGTTGGGAAAATGCTTAAAAAGAGAGACCAAAGGCTCTGACACTGAGACTCTTAGAAAGATTGATCTCAGCTTGGCTGAGATACACTTTCTTGGGCAGGGGTTCAGGCTCCTGGGCAGCCTGCCAGGCCCCGCCTTCCCTACCTGAGGGTCTGGCCTCTATGATGTAGCCTGTGGTGGGTGTGTTGCCAGCTTTCCCTTCAGTCCACTGCAGAATCAATTCAGAGGCTGATTTGGTGACCAAGACATCTTTAGGTGAACCCGGAGAACCTGTAGTATAAAAAAGGAAAAACGGTAGATATTGGCACTGGGGAGGATTTGTCATCCTGCAGCGTGGGGTTGGATCTGTCTAAATTTCAAGTTCTCATGGTAGGTTCCTTAATCTCACTCAGTCACTTTTTTTCCATTTAAAAAATGGAGAGGCCATCATAGGACTGAAAGAGATGTGTATGCCACCTTCTCAACCTATCTTAGTGTCGCTTTTAGAATGCTGCTTCTGCTGCTCACAGCTTCATGAGTGTTTAAACAATGACCAGCATGCTGATTGGACCTTCTTCATGACGTGAAGACTTTTAAATTTTCTTGTTTATTTTATTTCAAAAATTAAATTGACTTATTTTCTCTTCATTTGTTTCCCAGAAAACAATCCAAAATTTTACATGCTTAAGACCTAAGAATTTATGCATCTATATGTAACAATTTCACCTGAAGAAGTTCATATTAATTTGTACTTTTGAAAACTTCCATATTGCTATAACATTCCTGAATTTATGCCAGCTCTTAGTCAACCAATACTGCTTTGCTGAGAATGTAGACAAATCCCCAAATCAATGAAGCATAAGGTGAGAGGCTTAAGTAACAATTGACTAGGATCTGTCTTCCCGTGGAGTTCCACTTACCCTCTGCTGGCCCGGCTGTGACATTGGCTTGGAGCTCAGGTCCATAGGTAATGGTTCGTGCTTGGACACGGAAGAAATAGGTCACTCCTTTTGTGAGGTCCCGCACCTTTAGCCAGCGCTGCCAATTCCCTTTCACATCCACTGTCACTACCTTGCTCACGCCTGGAACCAGCAAAAGCAAAGGGAAAGTGGGGGTTCAGTTTAGAGAAGCAGTTGAGCACTGTCTGCTCTTTTGTGATAACAAGGAGAACAGTCCCCAGTTTGCTAAGGAAGTATTTCTTGCAATTAGGAGGTGTTTAAGTAGTGATAATAGCCAATTTTCAGCACAGATAAGTGTAATTAGAGTTTAAGCTTGATAAGTGGGTGCTGACAAAGAACCAAAGCTTACAACACCACTGAGGTGGGAGTAGGAGGGGAGGTGGCCCCAATCTAACTAAGGACATCAGGAAGGAGGAGAAATCCTCAGCCAGTGGGCACTACAGCGAGTGGGCAGCCCTGCCTGTGTGTAGGCCAGACTCCCATGCCACATTTCCAGAAAGGGGCTTCTTCCCACTTGGCTTTGAGCTGTACAGAGTCCTTGGTCACTTGTATAAGTGACTACAAGCTTCCTGACTTAGTCACAAGGGAGAGGAGAGTATGGTGGAGATGCAAGAAGACATTTGAGCTATTCGAAAGCAGGTTTCTCCCATGAGGGATCTGCAGCCTGCCTAGATTGGCCAACCTGTGGTTTATAGGCCTCAACTGATTCCTGAGTACTTTATCCATGAGCCTTGGAGCAAGAGTGAAGAAAAATGTATTGCTACTATGAAAATTGATCTGTCAATTCAGAGAACTGTGACAACAGAGACAAAGGTATTCACAAACCTATGCAAATGAGTGAATAATACAAAAATGTTGCTGCTTATATTAAGTATAATTAGAACATTGAAATTTAACATTCTGGGGAGAAGATAAATACTAAAAATTACACAAATGCATTATTTTTCGGAAGGAAAAATAGAGTTCTTTGGTTAATAAGTTTGGTTCTTTGGTTAATAAGTTTGAAAATCAAGTATTTTTAAAAAGTTAAATAAGTTCTCAACTGCAGGATTCTCAAAGCTTTCCATGGACTAATATCTATATGGCATCTCTTAAAGGAGGGTATAGGATGCAGCATTTCTAAGACTTCTTGGATAGTAGAACCTGGTTTTTGTGCAGGAGCTGTATGTAGTGGTTGGAGCCTCTCATCCAGGGTCCAGCCTGCCAGTCCTGCTACCTACACTCCAGAGCATGAACTCTAGCGACTCCCTTATTGAGAGAGAATGGCATGGTGTGCTTCAGCACCTCCACTGTGACAGTGACCTTGACTTCAGGAGAGTCAAACAAAGTACCATCCTACTATAAAACAGATATTTCAATGCCATCAAAACTAATTTCTCCAATCTTAAAGGTCTCTAAGATACCTTCTAGCTGGGTCACTGTTTTTACATTATGCCTTATATAAAACATTTATTCAACTAAATTATTTTCTTACAAATTCTTTCAGAGAAATTTTGGCTCTGAAATGACCCTCTAATGTGTTTTTTTTCTATAGAAAAATGGAGTCATTTCTGTGCAAAGAGTCTGGCTCTAAACTTACACATTGCTTGAGAAAGAGGTTGCAAGGATGACGATTTGTACACACAATGTCTCTCATTAGCAAACAAATGGGTCCTGTCCAATGCAAGGTTCTTTTGGATAGGAAACCATCCCGGTCCTGTTGACCACATCGTCTTTAAAACATGCCTTTGTTCTCCACACACACACACACACACACACACACACACCACCACCAATCACTAACAAGTGTGGTCATTGTTTCATAACATCCCTTGTTTTTAACTATTTTTACCACATTTTAAAATATTTTGTCTCCTAGGGCCAGCAGGTGGCATGGTGGTTAAGGCCCTGGGCTCGCACACAGTCCACCATGATGCAATCCCAGACCTGGTGGCTTGCTTTCTCACTTTCCCTTTCTCTCTATCTCTCTGTGTCTCTCTCTAGTAAGTATACACACCCTATAGCAAATAATAATAATAATAATAATAATAATAATAAAATTAAATAGATTTTGGGTGGAAAATATAGAAGCAAGAAACACACAACACGCATATAGACATATATATCTTGAGCAATCTTCCCAAGAGAACCACCATTACCATAGAGTGAGCATAATTCTAGCCCAAAATAAAGATGTCTGATGTTTTCATTACATTTGTAGTCATAACTCTGGGAAATGCACAGATTCTATGAGGCATTTTAAAATACTGAAACTTGTTCAGAGATCTGGTTACTACTTTCGTGGTTCCCTGTTGAAAGTTCCGGGTCTGACAGTAAGGAAGGTGCTGTTCAGAGACATGTCTGTCACCTGGGGGACTTGTGGCAACCCAGCATGCTGACCAGATCATTCAGCTGCCCTAGGGGGAGGAAATATACAGAAGAGGAGCAAGGGACCACTGGGAGAGGCTGATCCAGGTATGAGTCTTACGACAGCGAGGACTAGGTGAGGCAGCCAGGGATGCAGGACGGTTTGACCTCTATGAGGTACAGGAGACTGTATTCATTTTTTCCAATCATTGCCTTCTGTTCAACTGCCTTTTCCTTTGAGCTCAACTCCATCCCATGGCATTCTCGTCCTTTCTGGTTATATCAATATCAAATATTCAAGTAAAAGTTCACCTCCTCCCTTTACTAACTCCAGGAGGTCAAAATGCTCAGAAACGCCTGAGGGCAGAGAGGGCCCATAAGTATAAGCATTTCCTGGTCCACATTTCTGCCAAGAGCTGATTTTCTCTGAAATTTGCAGCATCAGCTATCAGGGAGAGAGAGAATACAAAGAATTGGGGATTTAGAATTAATCCTGAGCCTTCTACTTATTCCCTGTGTGATGCTGGATAAGGCACCTGATCTCTGCACAGTCCTTGGTTTCCCCATCTGATCTGAGATTGACAGTGCCGACCTCACAGGGCCATTGTGAAGAGTAAAGAGATAAAGCTGGGTACCCAGGCAGATGGTAAGGTCCTTGACTCTGGTTGTTGTTTAAGGACAGAGTAAATAACTGGGACTTTTCTATCTACATGGACTCCTTGCCTGCTGTCTCTCTCATGTACTACTGTGTATTACTCCAAACCTATTGGCTTAAAACATCATCATTTAATTTAGCTCAAGACCCTCCTGAGTGGTCATTCCTTTGGTTGGGGCTGGCTTAGCTAACCCAGATTGAGCCAAGGTATGCATTTGCTGTGATGCACTGAGTCTCAGCTGGGGTCGGTGGTCATCCCAGGTGACTTCCCTGACGTGTCTGATAGTCAGCTGACTGTCAGACAAGGCAACTGAGGTAACTGAGTCATCCCACAGGCCAGATTGGATATATTTATTTGGTAGCAGGGTTCCAAGAACAGCAGGAGGACCAGGGTTCATCCCATGTGTAATTGCCTTTTCATCTCTGCTTGCCTCATGACTGCTGTTGTTGCATAGTCCAATAGCAAGTCATGAGCCAGACACAGAGAAAGTGTGGGAAGGCACTACCAATGGGCATGCACACTGGCAGGCACGAATAGCTGGAGCCTTTCTGCCCTCAGCCCACCCATCAATTGGCAGTCTTAATTGGGTGTCATTGCTCATGTCTCTGGAAGAGGAATCCTTATTACAAACTGACTCCAGTTAGCTTGATTTGTCCTCCTCAGTTGGTCTATGTTCTTTCAGCTTGTGAGGCTGTACAATGAGACTAGCTGGACAGGACTGGGACAAGTGTCTAGCCAAGCCAGGACTCTGGCAGATACCATCCGTCTGGCAGGCCAGGGGCTGGATCCTGAGAAGCCTGCTGGCATTAGTGGTGAGCAGGACTTCTTCCAGAAGGTCACAAGGTCCACCAGGGGGCACCAGGGAGCAGGTTTGGTGAGTTCTGCTCTGAGGGAGGAGGCTGTGGGAGAAGCCAGGAGGAGGTCTAAGGCCTATGGCCATTTCCACCTCCTGCTGGAGTGGGAACAGAGCTGCTGGGATGGGAAATCTAGCTGGGAGCCCCTCTCACTTAGTAAGAGCCTGGTGCTTAGAGGCAGCTCAAGCAATGCCATTGGGTGGAGTTGGACATCCTGCCACCAGCACTACTGAGTAGCTAAGTCTTGGAACAGTTACCAGATAAATGGACACAAAGGAATTAGGAAGTCTGGAGTGTGCTCAAACCTGCAATAGGTCAAAATTTAGGGATCTGGATGGCCTTTTCTTCCTATCATCTTGGGAGACCTGATGAAGCTGTTTAGACTGAAATTCTGGCCTTCATTTTAGCCTCTGGAATTAATGAGGGAGCCACAAAGCAAAAGAGCTCATTGTCTTCCTGCACTATTTTCAAAACACATGGCACTCATCACAAAGCCAGGAAAACCTAGGCTAAAAGAACCAGTCCCTCTCAGCAGACAAGGAGACAAAGGTGGTGATGGATGATCTTATTATTTGTGAAAAGAGGCAAAAATGGTTGTGGCTGAAGTGACTCCTCCTGTGGTCCCTTAGGGGAGTAATGGGCCCCATAATCGGCTATGCAGTCAGTGATCTGTCTGGAATGTGAAATGCTTGAAGGAGTCCCCCTCACACCCAGTCTCGGATGTTCCCCTTCACATTTACTTTCAGAAGCACGTGCTCCAGACGTTTTATCTCTATCATATAGCAGTTAAGACCTTGGCCCTAGAATCAGACTACTTAGGTTAAAATTGTACCTTTCTTCATCATTCTGAACATGCAGGCCTTGGGCAAACATCTTTAAGTTCTAGTCCCAATTTCTTTGACTATAAAATACGAATATAAGCTGCAGCATCAATGTAGAGCTGTTATGAGGATTTAGAGATAATGAGTGTTAAGTGCTTAGCACAATATCCAGTTTGTACAAAGTGCCCAGTAGACATGGATACATCACTATTATTATACCTGGTGGGATCACGTTTACAGAGAAAACTGTGGGTGAACCGAACACAATGGATATGAATGTCTAAAATGAAATCCTCCAAAGGCCTTGACATTTTCAATGTCATGAAATGAAAATGAACAAGAAACCACAATGCTGGAGACACAAGGAAAACCAGATGTGTAGGTTCATCTCCTTGACAGTAGGCTGAAGGGGAGGTTTTAGAGAAATCCAGAAACAATTCTAAGTGAGAGAAAGCACAGAGAAAAGCAAATCACAAAGCACATCTCCAAGGCAATATTTCCAACTGAGTAACATCCACCCAAAGGCCTTGCCTGGAAAGCAAGCCTTTCTTTCAAATTAAGAGCAGCAGCCCAGAGAAGAGGCACAGAGGTGCTTGCCATAGAGTGTCTGGAGAGATTCTGCAAACACAGAAGGACTGGCTAGCAGAACAGGTCACTTATTTGTGGAAGAATGGGAAAATACAAACTGTCTGATTAGGAAGGACTTGTCAGCCAATTAGAACCATGGATTTTTTTTGGCAATCATTTCTCATTTGAGTGGCTTCATTTGGTTAATATCCTTAAAAAGGCATTTGTAAGATGGGCTCATGGGACCTGTGTGTGTGTGTGTGTGTGTGTGTGTGTGTGTGTGTGTATGTACAGGTGTGTATATTAGGAAAGGGAGGGAATACTGGTGAGCAAAATGAAAGGTCTCTATAAATTCTCTACCAT